TTTTTTTTTGTTATTATTTTATTTGGGTAAATTTAAATGGTAACAATGAATAAATAAAACATCAAGGATTTTATTTTTGTGCTTACTTTTGTTCTACACGTTTTACTTTTCAAGATTTCAGTACCTAAATATGCCAGAAATTTCACCATTTCTCGGCCAGGGATATGGCCACCTTAATCGTGGACATTATTATCGGATTGGTCTCTTACAGATATTTTATAGCATGTTTTTTTTATATTATCAAATAAACTGCAGAAACCATTATAATAAATAATTATATAATGAACTTTTTTTATAAAAAAAAGATTGTCAGTTGTGCCCGGCTTGAGCGAATAGTGGCGATTTTTTGAAATACTAAGTCTTGTTTAATAAATAAACCAGTCATTTAAAAAATGTCCAAAATTACGAACATGCATATGTATATAGTTTTAAAAGCATATAAATTTGTATTCTGTTTTATTTTATTTGAGCCTGCAAAATATTAAATAGGTTATGCAGATACTTACGTTATTTATTGAAATTAATAAATAGTAAAATAATGTGTTAGATAAGGAGCCTATCGATAGAGGACTCATATAAGAAAATGGTAGAAAAGTATACATTTAGAAATTGAAGTGAACTAAGTGAAAATAGATTTAATATCTCATATGTATACAAATCGGCTATAGTACAGAGCATGCCGTGACAGTCATATAAATTTAAATGCAACCGCGCCTAATTATGGAACATGCGCAAAACACACGGAGTACGTCTCGCCCCCACTTTTTGGAAACAAGGTCATCCATTGAAACTATAGGTAATGATCAGTATAGGATAGAAGTATGTGGGTCTACAGGAGTTTGCTGCAATGGTGGACTTTTCTTATAGTATATGGTTGAAACTTTTTTTAAATTCTCAATGCTTGGAATTTACCAATTCCTATTGTCCTTTGAATTTCTCTGCCGGATATATTGGGAATTGCGACAACAAAAGCTAAAGTATTGATTTCATTATTTTCTCTATTCTGTATATAAGATTTAGCTCCGTTTTTGAAAAGAACCAAACTCAATAAGTTATAGTCAGCTAAAAATTCTCTTTTCTGGCTGACGACACTGGGTATCTCTCCAAATATAAGTTTAAAGCTGTCATTATTTTTTTCACTTTCAATGTAACACTCCAACATTTGAACTTTGTGAAGATTTTCGTACAACATTTTTATACCTTTCAAAATTAAAACAAAGTAATAGACATTTAACAAGTTTTCAATCTGTCAAAAATAAACTTAATATTGAACAAAAGACGAATAAATAAATAACATGGCCAACTGAAAAAATATGACTGAAAAGGTGAAAAAAATGCTATTCAACGGGATGGCCAAATACAGGGTGTTCTATTTAAAAAAACCTGTTTATGTAATATCAGGAAAAGTGTGCAATTTGTAAAAAATCTGAGTATTCCACTGGCTTCCTAATAAAAAATAGTAGTGTACTTTTTTCTCCTAAATTGAATGACAACGGAGATATGGGCCATTTTTTGAAAAAACCCTGTATATCTAAAACTAATCAAGTTAGCCAAGACCTGGTACCAGTGAAGTAAACTCAAAAAAAGAGGACGGGACATCGATATCAGATTTTTTGTATCTATGACCGTTTTGGCTGTACTCTATAAAACTATCGAAGATCAACCACCCAGTACAATACAAACAGCTCAATAAAATGCGGCCATATACAATGTTATTTTTATCCCCAAATAATATGTGTAAATTATTTCAAAACAAGTTTTCAAACATTTTATTCAAATTAATACATGTCAAATATTAATGTGCTGACACACTGACTTGCCATACTCTGATAGTATTATCAGAGTACCCTGCAAATAATGTTTGTCCGTCAGTAGACCATGCAAGTGACAAACATTGTGGTGGTTCAGCTTTACTCGTCTGCGATACCACTTCAGGTCTTAATTCCTCCACCATTTCCTTACTTTCCAAGTCCCAGATTTTAATAGAAGGTCCAAAGGCTGCACAGAGCCAGTACCTACAACAATAAGTAACGTATTAGTCAAAATAAATAACATCAATTTTCATTTGTCCAATTTAAGACATCAGTCCCATATCCGCTAGCTTTCATGGAAGTCAAGCAATGTTTTTTATGCATCATGTAAAAACAAGAAATATAAAGTTAAAAATCTATTCATTATTTGAACCATAGACCATCCTCCAAAATATTGTAAAATGTATGTAGGTTATTTTAAAGATAGAATGTTGCACTTTTCGCAAATTGGACCATTTTTTCCAAGAGAAATCGTAGATTAATGTCAATTGCAATTTTCAAATTCAAAGTTTCATTTTCTAAAATGTTGTCACTATATCAGATTTTTTTGCATAATTTAGTAGAATTCTGTAAAAAGAAATAAATATTAGTGAAAACTGCATCTTTTCATCTTTAATAATATTGCACTAGCCTTTCGCTCGTGCCTGCGGTGCATTCTCCGCCCGCCGGTAACTATAAAATTTTTTGCAACATGGTGTATCTTAGTTCTTTAAACACCCTGTATGTAAAAGTTTGATGTTTTCCAAAAAAAAAAGTCTATTCGATTCACGAACCTTTGGCTTTGCAGTCGCGAGCTTACAAACTGAGCTACGCCACCTATCGGTGGGTGGAGCCTGTATTGGCTATTTGAAAGTTTAAGTCTCCGCTGGAAAACACTAAATTTGAAATGTTCAAATTAAGTTTTATCACTATAATATCGTCTTTAAAAGACCGGAGCCGGTATCTAATTAGAAAATATGATCAACCTGACATTGTCGGTTTTCAGATAGTGGGCGTTCTCATCAGGTTTCATCTCTCCCGTAGCAAAAGTTGTCAGTTTTGGCGGAAGATACGCAGAAAAACAAAAATTTACCTAGGAAAACACGGGAAAGGCTCCACTAAAGTACCCCTAAGCTAAGGACCTAGTCCAGATAATGTGAACTGGCAATTTATATAGTATGCTGTTATTTTTGGTAAATGGTTACACATAAAAATCTTTTAATTTTAATACATTGTGATATAATAAACAAACCTGTTTGGTGAAAAGCATAAAGCAGTTATAATGTCATTGTGGTCTAGTGTGTGTAAATGCTTGCCATCATTCAAGTCCCATAACATAGCTTTACAGTCTTTACCACCACTAGCACATAAGCTTCCATCAGGAGAAACAGTTACAGTATTTAAATAGCCGGTGTGGCCAGAGTGATTTATCTTTAGACGACAATTGGTTAAATTCCATACTTTCACCATTCTGTCCCATCCCGCAGAAACAATTATGGGGTTAGCATGATTTGGAGAAAATCTTACACACGAAACCTTTAAAAACAAAAATATATTTAGAAAACAATGACACAATGAATGGTGGACAAAATAAATGTGTAAATTTAAAGCATTTTTCAACCTATTTTTCTTGGATTCAATGATCACCGTTAATAATGATGCTGGCCTGTAAGTCAATTGCCAAACATACAGGATTTAGGATCCAATATGACATATTATGACCCCAAGCACAAATGTATTTGTATCAGAATATATAAAATATTGTGTTACACTCAACATGACTTAACACTATTAAATTCTATATGAAAATAATATTGACATTATTGCTTATTTCAACATCTTGCTTATGCAAAATTATTTCAATGTTAAAGAAAGAAAAACAGATTAATAATTTGTTTGATGTATCAAAAACTTTATTATATGTTAGAAATGAATTTGTCCTGTAAAAGCAACCCAATTTTATTGAAGTACAGTGGACTTCCTCTTAATCGGCCACTTCGGGACCGGGACCATGACCGGATAACAATTTGGCCGGTTAAACCAACGTTATGTTAAAATACACTTTCTTTGTTTTTTCAGTATAAAACTAAGTATGTAATATACATATATTTGTACATATATAGCCTACTTCATTATAATGTGGTATGTATAATTAAGAAAACTTACCCCGGAAGAACTTTTTTGATAGGAAAAAATACGACACATGTTAATCCTTATTAAATATCACATTTAGTACAGGACTGCACCGTAAATATAAAAATAAGTTCTAAACGTAATCTTGGATTTTCTTTTGTTTCTTTGTGTGCAGCTAGTTTAGAGTACTACTGTATGTCCACTACATTAAAAATCAAGTAAGTACTAGTAAGTAATCAAGTATCACATTTTGTTTCCCATAATAAGTGTCAGATTATGCACTGCTGACTTGAGAGACAGTGATGAAAAACGATTTGTGGACGTTCTTTAAATGATGATTTATGAAGGTCCATTGTTAAGGCACATGAAAATAGTAAAATCTTATAAATTGCAAAAAAATATTAATTTCAGACAAAAGCAAAACCATTGTTACAGTTCATACGATATTTGTTGAGATAGAATTCCAAGACGCCCACTTCACTTTCTTGGAATTAACCTCATTCAACACACGAGGTAGAAAAATAATGGCGGAAAATTTGAAGGCAGCCCCTTGCCGTGGTAAATTGTTGGTTCCGATAATAGAACTTTCTTGGCTTATTCTTTTTGTAGAATTCTATCTCAACAAATATTGCACGAACTGCAACTAAAGTTCAAAAGTGTGACCGACTAAAATGAGCCAAAATACATCTAAATTGGAGCGAAGGCCAGTGGAATAAAATTTTGTGATAAATGGTGCGTCCTGCCCATCAATTAATTATTAGGTAGTTATCTGTTAGTTATTAATTTATACATATTTATAATAAGTCACATGCAATTACCCCCTCTTTATTTTAAATGCTAAAACTTGGGGCAAAAGGTGTGAGGTTGGACCCAAGACCCTGTCCGCGAGGTAGAAGATGAATCGAAAATTACCTAAACGACGATCGAGTCATCGCTTTTCAATTTTTTTCTCATACCTTTTACAGTCCAGAAACGCTACAGTAAATTCGATGTTTATATTGGTGATCATGGCATGATCAAGTAAAATTATTAGAAATAAAGCAGAAGTATTTCATTCCAAATATCTTAAAAGAACAGTAAAATTTTCAGAGGTTAATGATACTCAGCTGTGTCGGAAATCTTCATTTTATAGACGGTTTTTTCAATCCTCAAAAATACCAACATATTTTACTATTCATTGAAAAGTTGAGAATAGTGATAATTATATTTTCCAGCAAGATGACTAGTTCCCATATAATGAAGAACACTAAAGCATGACTTGCCAACAATAATATACCAACTGTAGACTGATTATCTAGTAGCCTCAATCTTATTAGGTCGAAATTATGTAAAATTTATTTTACAAAATTATATTTCTTTTATTAATATAAATAAACTAGTATTGCCACCTGCTCCGAAAGATTTCAACATGTGTAATCTCATCATAATCAGCTAGGTCCGTCAGTATTGAAATAGCAGTTGTGATTTAGTAGATGATCTAATAATTATTAGGGGAAACAAACGAATGAATTGCTTTTTAATATGCATAAATAAAATTGTCTTGCTTTAACAGGAGGTTGGAATTCATTTGTAACATGAGCAGTTATACCAATATTTTTCATATAATATAATAATAAAGAAAAATTATTGAACTTCATTTAATTCTTAGAATATTAAAATAATTTTACATATACAACATAAAATAGGCATTAATGAGTTTTTATTGCTAAATATTGTTTTAGACATATTTTTTTATGGAAAAGGGCAAATTGGTTAAACTATTTATTTAATAGGGTAATAAAAGTAATTTATGCAATAAATAATTATAAGTGTGTAATTTGTTAGTTCTGAGGACGTCGATCGCAATGTCCCCTGGATCCTGACGGCCGTCAAATGTCAAAATTTTTGGGCAAACTTTACCCCTTATTTTGAATTATCTGATAGCGCAACTTATAGAACCAATGGTAAAACAAAGTACTTAATATATCAGTGTACATAAAATTTCAAAGAAACCTCTTCTTATTTAAATATATAAAAGCCAGTTTCATAGTAAACTTAAACACTCTTTAAATTTTCATAACAACTTTATTTTAAAGCTAACATTAATGTGATTATGAAATCAGACCCAAGTGATGTTAACAAAGAAGTCTTGAAAATAAAATTTTATTTTATAATTCAATTTACTTATTAAGAGACCAAAATAAATTGGATTTTGGAATAAATTATTTAAAATAGATAAACTTAATAAATGAAATGAAAACAATGATTTTTTTTAAAAAACTAGTAAAATAAATACATTGAAAATTATATTTACCAATTTACCAATTAATACAGTGCAACCTCTTTAATCCAAACACCACATTGCCAGGCATTGTTCGTATTATCGAACATACTATAAAGATTTGTACATATGTATATTATGTAAGTACATACACATTTTATTATAACAATATAAATATAAATCATATAAGACACATAAAACTTATATAAGGTAAAACATAAACATGTAGTTACATATACATATATGTATTATTTTACGCTTTTCACATTTTTTATTTTTCTTACTTCCAAAAAAACTCCAAAATTGTTACACAAAACACGACACGCAAAGGCGGGTATCCACTTGTGGCAATGATCCGTAACGTAACAACAAACATGTTACGGCCTGTTGTAAAAGGTGACACGGTTCGCTGCGAAAGTATTTGTGGTTTTGGTCTTATCATTCATTCAGTAACGTTACAAAATAAGGTTACGAGATGACAGAGGAACATAAACTCGCAGTATGAACCTGACTGCAATAATGGATTCGTCACTGCAATTGCAGTTAGCAGCAGCGTCATATATTTTTATTCATCATACAATTTTGAAGAATAAGAAATGGAAATCTCCGGAAATCTTTTCTTTACTCTACTCCATGGCACAAACACAGAAAAATATACTCTTCCTAGTCATTGCAGAAAACAGACTGACCCCAGATCATATAAAAAAAGACTAATGAAACAAAAAATAAGACAAAATCACATGTGCAATAGGCAACGTTACGGCCAAAAGGGTAACCCCGTCTCAACATGTGGCAGAAAATACTATTGCATTCCTTTGATGCGACGACTAAAAACTGACAACTGATGGTTCGACCCGGATTAGTTACACATGTCAAATTTGGTACACGTACCATGCAACAATTTTCCGTCACCACTAGCTGTAACGTAACATGTTCGGTGTTACGTTACGGGGCATTTGACACAAATGGATACCCGCCTCAACAGGCCTTCGCTATCGGCAAACAAACCGTCATTGGGCAGACAGGCGCGAACGACTGCCGACAACGCGCGTACGCGCGAAGCGATCTAGTCTTTTCTTGTCATCGTTCAGAATTGGCCGTTCGGATTAGCGTGTGATCGGATTAACGTGTGTTCGGATTAAAGAGGTTGCACTGTAATTCCATAAATTAATGAAAGATGTATTACAATAAGAAATGCATAGAACAAAAACATTTTTTCAAAATTATGGGAAATAATTCCATTTTCGGCGAAAAAAAAATCTAATTTCATAGACAGAAAACCATACAATTGTTTTTGTCCATATTGTTTGAAATATTTGAAGCAAAATGTTTGACAAATTAAAATTTTTCAAAAATCCATGAACATAAAATTTTTGCTGTAATTTATTGGAGCAAAATTGAAATTAGGAATATTATTCGCCTTTAAATCAAGAATATGTAATAATCCAATATTTTAGTCAATAACTTATACAGGGTGGTTTTAAATGAAGTAGCAAAAATGATACCAGTGAATGTAGAGCCAAAAATAAGAGGATTGAAGTGAAAATACCTTATATATGAAAGTTACACCCCCGAGGCGATATACCCTCTTAAAGGAGGGGTTTGAAATTCACATTTTAATATTTTTTTCTTTAACATGGAGAATGTTAAGAGACGAAACTTGGTATGAGCATCCTACTAATAAAGAGACGTTTCAATATTTTTTCGATCATTGGCGTATTTTATAAAGGAGTGAAACAGTCAACCCCATTGCAATATTTTATTAGAAATTTTTTATATGAAGCAAATTATTTATTGGGAAGACTGATTTATTGCGCAACGTTTTTACCTCTTGTAATTTTTCGATGAAACCGATAGTTTTCTAGTAAAAAAATTAGATTACATCATCGTTCACTAATGGGGTAATTTCGGAAATGTGTAAAAATAAAGTAGGTGGATGTCAACAAATAAATTGTTATTTATCATATTAATAAATTGACACTTTCTGTCAATAAGCTGGTAATTTAATAATAACATTAAGAATAATTTGCTATTAATTAATGAAAAATGTTTACATGTATTAGATAAAGTTATTTATCTGAAATAAAATTTAATACAAACGAAAAACAATAAATGCAAAATTAAATTTAGAGAATATTCTCGAAATAATTTCCATTTTGCTGCAAGCATAACCTAATACGTCTGTTGAAGTTATAACGCACTCGCACAAACAGTTCTTGGTTATTGCGAAGGTCATCTGCCACCTGAAATATTCTTAAGTGTAGTTCTTCTAAGGAGGCAACAGGAGTGGCATAAAAAATACTTTTTATGTGTCCCCACAAAAAGAAATCCATAGGCGTTAGGTCAGGTGAACGTGCAGGCCAACAAACAGGGGCATCACAACCACGACCAATCCAGCGATTCGGGTTATTTAAATTTAACCATTCTCTAACGGCAAGTGTACTATGTGCAGGCGCCCCATCGTGCATATATCACATCACCTGACGTGTAGCGAGAGGTACATCCTCAAGTAATGTTGGAAGATTTTCGTTCAAAAATCTAAGGTACTCGGCCGCTCCAAGCCTGTGTGGAAGAAAAAAAGGACCTACTAGAGTATTTCCTACAATTCCCATCCAAACGTTTTAACTGAAATTATGTTGACATCTTGAAACAAATATTTCATGAGTATTTTCTTCTGATCATGAATGAACATTATGAAGGTTTACTGCACCTACTCGAAGAAAATTTGCTTCATCGGCGAAAAGTATATTCGTTAGGAAATTTAAGTCATGCCTGGAAATATTAATGTACCATTGACAAAAATCCACGCGGGTAAGTAATTCAGGGTCATTCAATTCTTGCACGGGTTGATGGTGAAAAGGATACCAATAAAAGATTTTCATGACCTACATTCCACACAAGACTGTGAGAAACTTGGAGTTGCCTGGACACCGGTTTTGTGCTTGTACCACAGTATTTTTCTAGATGTTCCAATATAACTTCCTCAGTTTCAACAGTTCGGACATTATGCCTTCTTCTGGCGCCATCACGATTGGGCTGAATTTTACCAGTTTCGCGAAGCCTTCTTTCCACCGAGGCCAATGTTTGTCTATAAGGAATCGGTTTGTTTGGATATCTTTGATGGTATAATCTTACTGCAGCGTTACCATTTTTTCTGGATTCAAAAAACACTTGGAGCATGTTGACATATTCATCATTGGTATAAATATTATTTGCCATAATTATTCTGATAATAAACTAATCAATTGGTACTAATTATTGGTTGACAGAAAGTGTCAATTTATTAATATGATAAATAATGTTATGACATCCGCCTACTTTATTTTTTTACTAGGAAACTATCGGTTTCATCGAAAAATTACAAGAGGTAAAAAAAGTTGCACAATAAATATTTTTAAATAAATAATTTGCTTCATATAAAAAATTCCTAATAAAATATTGCAATGGGGTTGACTGTTTCACTTCTTTATAAAATACGCTAGTGATCGAACAAATATTGAAAAGTTGTCTTTTTATTAGTAGGATGCTCATACCAAGTTTCGTGTCTCTAGCATCCCTCATGTTAAAGAAAAAAATTAAAATGTGAATTTCAATCCCCTCCTTTAAGAGGGTATATCACCTCAGGGGTGCAACTTTCATATAAGGTATTTTTACTTCAATTCTCTTATTTTTGGCTTTACATTTACTGGTACCATTTTTGCTACCTCATTTAAAAACACCCTATATATATTTCAAATAAATGTGTGGCATATGGAATTCTTGTCCTACTTTGCTTTGATTTCTTTAAAAACAAAAAATACCTATTACAAAACTGCAACAAAAATTTTAGATTTAAATTGTTTAACTATTTCCCACTTTAAAGGTATTGATGTCTTATATCCGATTGAGGAACAAAAATATAAATACATTTTGTCCGCACCCAGGAATAAATTTGATCTTCTTCCCATTGACAACCAAAATGGCTATAAATAAAGCCAAGCTGGTGCTTTTTAGGAAGATAGTTATCATATTCTACTTCTAATAGCTAAATAAGTAATTATTACCATGTATTTTTGTATAAGACTGAATTTAAACCGAAGACTAACAAATGCAAATTGAATTTAACGAAAAATATTTAGAGGTTTTGACATTTTCAACAGAAAGATATAATTTATTCTATTTATATTTATATGTACAAAAAAAAAGACAGCACTTACCCAATCGGAATGGCCATCATCCTGAATAGTATATTTACATTCAGCTAAAGTATTCCATAATTTAATAGTTTTATCACGAGATCCTGAGACAATTTGGCGGTTGTCTACAGAAAATGCAACACTCAAGACATCCTGTAAAGTAATAACAAATTATTAAAGGTTTAGATGTTTTTTAAATCAAGTAATACTATAGGCTACAATTTTAAAATTTTGGAGTAAAAATTAAATTTATTACAATTTTATAATTCAAAGCAATGATTGCTCTATAAAGTGGTCATATTTTGATAATGAAGTGAGACTCATGTTTTTTTAGTAGATAATTTCCTGACCCCATAAAGAACTTATGCAATGAAAAAAGTTTGAATGAAATTTGCGAAAAAAAAAGTTGGAATTGGGGCGACTGATGATATCTCGAAAAAGATAGCACACATATTTGGAAAATATGTATATACACGGGGTTCTTCACGGTAAGTGACCTATTACACGTTTCAGAGGAACCAAAGACAATGTGACACTGAAATTTTGTTTACGGGGGCTATTAGATATGTTCTCTTCAATGAAAATAATGCCATCAACATAGCACTTCCACTTATACCAGAAGTAGATGTCAATTTCGTTATTTTAAATGGAACACTCAATATATTATTGCATTATCAACGAGCTAAATTAAAAATATGTCAAAAATGTTAAAGCTTCCTTGTATCTAAATCTAACCGTTTTCGAGGTAATAGTCATTTTACAAAAAAGACAGATGCAAGCTTTTCGAAAATTCCTTATATCTTTCTTCGTTCTGAGAGCTTTCACTTGCTTTTCGTAATACACAAAGAGCATAAGATGCACTACCTTCCGCTATTAAAATTATCTGAAGAAAATTATACTAAGATTCTCATTTTTCACGTTACATTTTGAAAACTTAAAACTGACAAAACTTTTTAAATTCAAATGGAACACCCTGTATATTTCTGCATCATATAGAAAATCAAATTCTCTTTTCACCGCTATAGGCATTGTAGGGGTTAGTATCAATTTTCTCAGATAATTGCGATTTACTTACATTTTCAAGAATATTACGTTAAAATATCATCATCCTTGAAAGGCAAATATTAGTATTGTCATTCAGCATTCTACAAGTATCAAATACTTTCTCGACAAGAAAAATGCAGAATAATTATTCTAATGAAGATATTTTGGTATTTTGCAAAATTTGAAGAATTGGACACGAATGAACCTTGGCCATATACATACAAAAGTGTTCTTTGTAGAACATTGATTTTTTTTATAAGTACATTAATAGTGCGCTGTTTCACGTTTGTTGCACCTATAAATAATGAGGGGTATATTTAAACAAAAAACTGCAAGTACCTACAATAAAGAGCAAATAAGCATCCTTTCATTAAGAAAACAATGAAATGTAAAGTAACCAAAATGTTAAATTATTGCATCCTCTCAACTTCATTTCAAATATCATAAAATTATAATAATGCATTTATTAGTTATTTGAAATTATTTTATTTATTGTCTGCTATTCTTTAAAAACTTTTATGACAACATTCAAAATTAGAGCAAAATTCTAAGAAAACCAACCGAAATCATTTCATTAATTGTTCTGTTTCAGTTGCAAAATACCAAATCATAGAAATACAGCTAATAATTTTGATTCACGGTGAATGTTCCATGGATATAAAAAAAATTAAAAATATCTTCATTAGAACAATTATTTTGGATTTTTCTTGTTGAGCAAATACTTGATACTTGTAGAGTACTGAATGACAGTACCAATATTTGCCTTTCAAGGCACATTTGATCACATTTTTAACGTAATATTCTTGAGAATGTAAGTAAACCGCAAATATTCGAGAAAATTGAAACAAACTCCTACAATGCCTATATCGGTAAAAAGAGAATTTGATTTTAAGATGCAGAAAAATACAGGGTGTTCAATTTGAATTTAAAAAGTTTTGCCTATTTTAAGTTTTCAAAAGGTAACGTGAAATATGAGACACTTCAAATAATTCTCTTCAGGTAATTTTGATAGGGGAAGGTAGTGCATTTTATGTTCTTTGTGCATTCCAAAAGGCAAGTGAAAGCTTCCTGAACAAAGAAAAATATAAGGAATTTTCAAAACACTTGCATCCTGTCAAAATTTTTGTAAAATGACGATTATCTCGAAAACGGTTTGATTTCGGTACAGGGAAGCTTTAACATTTTTGACTTATTTTTAATTTATCTTGTCAATAATGCAATAATATATAGTGTGCCATTTAAAATAACGAAGTTGACAGCCACTTCCGGTATGACCGGAAGTGCTATGTTGATAGCATTATTTTCATTGAAGAGAACATATCTGATAAACCCCTTAAATAAAATTTCAGAGTCATATCTTCTTTGGTACCTCTGAAACATCTAATAGGCCACTTACCGTGAAGAAACCTACTGCTACAAAAAATTTGAAAATTTGGCAACATGGCAATGTCCCTAGGACGAACACAACGAAAATATCTAGAACTCTCCAGCACTTCCGGTTATACCAGAAGTCGATACCAACATCGTTAATTTAAATGGGACACCCTATATATTATTGTATTTTCGAATTCTACGTGAAATTTGAGGGCCACTTTATTAAATATTATTTATACTAGGAGTTACAGAATTTGAGATTTTATTATTTAAAGAAAAAATTTGGCAGATGCAAGGGTCTGCGGAGATGCTAGTAACTGTTTTCAGGAGCATGATATCAAGTGGATATTTGGTACCTGCAAAGAGCATAAGTAACAGTAAATTATGGTATACCAACAAATTAAAATATTTAATGCTAGGTGTTTCATTTTTGCCGTTACATTTTGATAACTTCAAACAGCTATAACTTTGTTAACTTAAATGGAACACCCTGTATTTTCTCTAGCAAAAGCAGCAAATTCTCCCATGTTGAAATTACTTTGTCACATTTTCCATAAATAACAAACAAATTAAAAGAATTCTCATTAGTATAATTTAAATGATCCCTAGGCATTTTTATTTAAATTTTCGGCAATAACTATTTAGACGCAACAATAATTTGAAAATTAACATAACAAATGTCAAGTTATTTCTGGTCATGGCCAATTTGACAACAGGTCTGACATGTGAAAAACTGTCCAAAAAAATAGAAAATAACAAATATCTCTAAAAGTAATAACGGCAATCCTAACAACGCTTATATACTTTGAAAGGAAATTTCAATTTGCATACAACAAAGTAAAAAAATACAGGGTGTTCCATTTAAGTTAACAAAGTTATAGCTGTTTGAAGTTATCAAAATGTAATGGCAAAAATGAAACACCTAGTATTGAATGTTTTAAATTGTTTGTATACCATAATTTAGTGTTACTTATACCCTTTGCAGGTACCAAAAATCCACTTGATATCACGCTTCTGAAAAGAGTTACTAGCATCTCCGCGGACCTTTGCATCTGTCAGTTTCTTTCTTTAAATATTAATATCTCAAATTCTATAACTCCTAGGTATAGGAAATATTTAATAAAGTGACTTTCAAATTTCAAAAATAATATATAGGGAGTCCCATTTAAAATAACGAAGTTGGTGTCGACAACTGGTATAACCGTAAGTGCTGGAGAGTTCTAGATATTTTAGTTGTGTTCGCTCCAGGGACATTGTCATGTTGCCAAATTTTCAAATATTTCGGATCTGTACTTTCCTAGATATCGATCGACTCAGTTCCCGGTGGGACACCCTGTATGCAGGCTGTTACAGGGTCTCGGAAAGGATAAGAGATACGAAGTAGTTTAAATGGGGACAAAATTGCATAACCATAATCATTTTGCAATGAATCAGTCAGTATTCATTGCAAAATTTAGATTTTGGACAGAATACATTAAAAATGAATTTTTCATGACAAGTCTAAATCTGGTTTGGGCTGAGGCAATACAGTGGGGGTCATGAAGGCAAATGTAATAAAATTTCCAGGGCTGTACTTAAAAAAATTAAGTTGGCCCTGGAAACACACACCTTACACATAAATATTGATTATGCCATTCGATTGAGGGCAAAAAGTTGCCATGAGAAAGTGTTCTTTTTCAACATAATAATTTATGAAGGGTCTGTTGTATAAACCCACATTTTAGTAGTAACTTGTCTTTATTATATAATAAAACAGTTTACGTAAGCATAAATTCAAATGATCTCTTGCTTCCCTATAATGACATTATAGAACTGAAATTCAGACCTTTTTCGAGTAGTTAAATTGACAAAATGAGCACGACTTATATCTAGCCGACAGACAAATATTTTATTCTGTCCACACTTTATGTGATTTAATATTTTAAATATATTCTCTTCTTACCTACAACAAAGCTTGCTATAAATAAAACAGGCAATACTTTTTAAGAAGGTAATAGCATATAATGGGTGATCTGGCAATAGACCTTTTTAGTAGTGACGTCACATATGCAAAATAATAGGCAACCCCATAATACACATTGTCATGAAGAATTTCTCAGTAATTTTACTAGATCGATTTTTGACCTTATGTACTTTGGACATAAGTGCCAAAAAAATTTCTTCGTCATGACCTTAAATATTGCGATATTAGAAATATTTAAGAATTTTCAAACCCCAAGTGACAAACTGAAAGAATTATAGAATTTATATTTTTACATTTATAGAACAATATTGACTTTTATGGTAATTAATAAATTAAAGTTATATCATTGTTACTGAGCATGCGTATTAAAGATGATTTCATGTAAACGAAGTAGCCTCGCAACAGGATATCATTCAAGAAAAGTTTGGTTCTGTGCAGGGACTCGTGAAATGTCGATTCGATGATTCCGAATCGAGATCGAAATAATATCGATACATCGGTACTCTTGAAAATAATATCGAAACCCCGACCATTTGAATCAATATAATATCGAGAAGTCTAGCTGAAATAATTTGTTCTCTTCTTCTATCACATGTATTGACTATTGTTGTTTCTTTTTTAACATTACAAATATGTGTTTGCGGTTGTGTTTTGTTGATTTTTTCGTATTTAACCTAACCCAATGTGAAGTGTTAAATACTTGTTTATATCGTAGATAAATGTTTATATATATATTTGAACAGTTTTTGAATGATACCTTTTGTATTAACATAGTTATGTTCCTCCTTTACGAGTAATCATTGATATTAATAAATATAATGGTACTTATGCATTAAATAAATATAAATACTACATAATGTTACAAATCTTGTTCTTGTCATGAGTGTATATTTACCGGTATGCTTTTCTCTAACTATTCGTGAAAATTTTATCCAATTGTTGGAGAGGTTTTAATAAATAACTTATATGTGACTTTCTTTATACCTCTATTAATAGTTTGTTGATTTGAAGCAAGAAGTCTACTCATTCCAGTGATGTTCACCGTGCAGAAAACCAGAAAACACAAAATAATTTAATGTTGAATTGAATAGTTTCCGAAGTTCTTTTTACTTCTTTTAAATGTCAAACAATAGACATAATTAAATTACATATAATATTTTTATGTAAGCCAAATAATTACACAATTTTTTGTCCGGTAAAGATTATAATGGATCCATTGAACCTCTTAACTGTCTTCTCCAAATATTTTCATTCCTAAATGCTTCTCGTCGCTCTAATAGTTCAACAATAATGATAATCACAGGTAGTATTTTATGTTTTTTTTATTCAAACCTAATAAAAAATTAGGATATGGAATATCAATAATTTGTTGAGTATGTATGCATAAAACCTTTAAATAAACTTTCATGGTTTACTGTTTAGACTAAATAAATAATTTTATAAATTTCTGTTTGATAGGTATTCATTTTAAAATTTGAGCAAAATGAGATCTGAATGCCATAATTCTTATTTCTTAACCGTGGTGGTTATCACATCACCCCAAATTTGCTGAACTCATCCGAGGACTACAGGTATATGGATGTGCTTCAAGAGTACCAATTTACATTTCGAGTCAAATTGTTCGAGATTGGCTTCGTAATTATCTCGATATCAATAAAATGACATCGAAATTTCAGGACTCCCGCTACTGGTTAAGAGTACGTCTATAATAAACCACTTGAAAAAAAAGAACACTCGATAAACAGACTGACACAGTAGAACACCAAGAAAAACAATAAAAATATACTTGATAGAACTAGAAAATTCCAAGATTACACAAAAGAAGAGAAATATGCTAACAATGACAGCGATGATATATCAACAAGATCTCACCTGCGTATGAGGCTATTCTTCCCGAACATGCACATTAGGAATAACAAGGCTAATGTTAAATTTTTACTTTATTTAAATTTAAGAATATTATTTTATATCATTTTTGTAAGCTATCTATTTTACGAAACAAGTGTTGGCTGTTCTTAAATACTTCCAAATCCTTGTAAAAATAAGTTCATTTGAAATTGTTTATTTCTATAGTATCCATGTAAATAGTAAACAAGGGTCAGATTGGTTCTGTACAATTTCAACTATGACAATTTGTTGCCGGTTGCCTAAATATGTGACGTCACAGTAAAAGAGTCTGAGATATCTCTAAATCTTTGAATTTTACAGAAGATAAATTTTGACTATTTATAAACCGAAAATGTTTATAAAATATTCATATTAGTAAGTTAGATTATTTGGTGGTAATATGTATCCTTACAATACTTTATGAAATAATTGGTTATAGTAGAATTTTACAAGATTTGCTGATTTTTAATATTAAATTGTTGAGATAGATTTTGCCAGGTCACCCATAATATTTTATCATTAACGATTATAATAATTACAATAAATTATTTATTTTCCACTTTTATTCAGATTAATATTATACTGTGAGGTCCAATACAATATTGGCAAATCGTTTTACAACTTAATTAGGGAATATAATTTTACTTACTTAGGACTTAAATACAGTCAGGTCAACTTTTTCAGGCGAAGAATGTAGATATAAAGTAAAAAAAAAATCTTCTAGCTGTTTTAACAAAAGTAGTAATTTTACATATAAAGAAAAATTGTAAAATTTTATCAAACCTTAGTATGATCTTCAAAGCGCCTTGTAGTTTTTCCTGCGGCCAAGTCCCAAAGACGTAGAGTTTTATCCCATGATCCAGAAAGAGCATAGTTACCATCGCTGGACAATACTACATCGGATATGAAATGAGAATGCCCGTAAAGACGTTTTTGAGGGACGCCATACTGAGTCTCTTCTCGAGTCAATTTCCAAACAATCAGAGTCTTATCTGAATACAAGAGATATCATATTAACCATGCAGGGCCAAGTAGAGCATTACAGAGCTAAATCGTTTAGAAAAACCTTTGGATGCACAACTTTAGTAGAGATATTCCAAGATAACAATTTTTTTTAGGTTAAAGTAACTTACCTCGCGATGAGGATAAAATCATATCAGGATATTTTGGATTTGTAGCAATCTGGGTTACCCAGCCATTATGCCCCAATAGGGTTCCCTTTAATTGAAGCGTTTCCGACATCGTTAAACTGAATAAATATATGCGCGTTTACAACACCTTTCACATCCACTACCAAACAGCAAAAGAAAGATCGCATAGGAAAACGAAGACTATTATATACATCACACTCATCACTACTGATGGGAGATTTCGAGTGAAAAATCGAGTGGTACTCGATTATTGAGATCACTCGAGATATCTCGAGATGTTTACTCCCACCACTCGAGTGATTATTACCCTACGGTTGTACCCCAAAATGTTAGTGCATACTGCAAATAGTCACTGATTGCGTAACCTTTTTTTTAGAATAAAACGAAAAAGTGGTTAGGTTTTGAAGTGCGTGAGCTTTTTTTTTTTAGCTACGCTTATAAGTAATATATGACTAATACAAACATATTTGTGCGCCGCTGGGTTGAAAACGACCAATATCTCGTATCTCGAGTGATCACTCGATTATTAGAAGTACTCGATTACCGATAACTCGATTATCAAAATTGGTCGATTATGCCCATCACTA